CGATCCGTAGATGGCGTACTCGCTCTTATTGGCAAACGGCGTAACCTCCGTGTGCACCAGAATCGGTTTGACATCCGGATCGAACTCCACCCTTCTAAACTGCGGATCCGTGAAGTTGGCGCGCACCTCGGTGACCATTCCCGAATGGGGCACTGGTTTGTTGAGATTCTGGAACTCGCAGCGCCGCTTGGGACAGACCTGCGTTGAGCCCTCGTCGCACATGATGGGGTCCACCTCGCGGGACACCTTCCGCGTGGGCGGCATCTTCTCCGACCAATTCCAGTAGGTTATGTTGTCGTGGGCCGCTACTCCGCCACATAAATCCTCGGGACTCAAGCGCACGTAGGAGAGGTTGTAGGTGGTGGATGAGGGGTCCAGATACTTGCTATACGACGCCTGCGAACGGTCGACGATCAGTTTGGTAGCGACCACGGGTGTGGGCATTGTAATCGGCAGAATCTCCTGCTCCTCGGGCAGTGCTTTGTGCACAAAGGAGTCATGACTCACACTCGAGATGGGCTTCATCTTCCGCTTCACAAAGCGAAGACTTCCCTCCTCGAATGGCTTCATGTATTGGGTTTTCATGTTCAGCGAGGGATTCCTCAGGGTATTCGGATTGCCGTACTGAAAAAACAAAGGGGTAAGCGTTAATTCCCGGCAAGTAATCTCCTATAAATCCACTCACCTGCCACACATAATTGGCCATGCATTCAGAGATCGGCTTCGCCGACAGGAGCGGATCCCTCACATAAATGCCCTTGTCCGTGAATTTGGGGTTCAGCTTGTTGCCCATTCTCAGGTCCGTGATGTGACGATGGCCGCGATAGTAGGAGCTCCTCCAATCGAGATCCGTAGCGCTGGCCGGACGCTTGTAATCGAAGACGCCATAGTCATCCATGGCTTGGGGATTTTCAAGGCAATAAATCAAGAAAAAAACTAGAGGAAACTGAAAGTAACTCGGAGAACAAACTAAATTTTCAGCGACTGTGGAAACCGATTGTCCTTGGAACGCTAAATTTGGGAACGCTTCCTGTTGCCTGGCTACCGAACCGATTCCAAGCAACACTAGTATACTGACTGCTCACAAACAGCCCGCCTTCTGTACAATATTTCTCGTTTATATTCTGCTTCAAATGCATGTGTGTTTATACAATATAGTTGTAGTTTTATGCTTTAGAGAGGAATGCTTGTTTGACAAATAGAAAAGCGCTCTGTTCACAAAACAAATGGATATTCGTTAATACAATATGTGGGCTAGGGAGTTAATGTTGCACTCGATCTGGCCTGTGCAATAATAAACTGTTTGCTTAGCAATTAAACAATTGATTTACTTCGTCTCCCGGGGGCGTGTGTTCTCCATGAGGCGTGCGTTTCAGTGTGGGGTGTGTAAACAATGTGCGGGTGACTCATCCACTTCCGGTTCCTGTTTCCTCTGGTTCCGCCTCCGCCTCCGCATCCGCCGGCTCCCCGTCTCAGGCAATTTCTTTGAGCGCAAGCAGCGATTGGCGCAAATACTCGTACTGGGTCTTGGCATGCTTGATCTCGAGTTCCGAGAGCTCCACGAGGCTAAAACGGGCAAAGCAAAGGCACTTTTAATTACAATTAATATTATACGAAAATGATAACTTACCTCTTCTTAAAAGCAGCCACCCTTCGGTTGCGGAAACCGATCAGCTCCTCCTTTCCACAGGCAGACATCGATTCGAACTTCTCACAGGCCTCCGCCTGGGCAGTCTCAGCCTAAATAGTGGGGGTAAATATGAGCGGTTAGTTGTGTCTTAAACCAAAACTAGTAGATCACAACAAGGACATGCTAGAGTGCTTATGGGTGGAGAGCAACGGTGGAATGCATGCAGCAGTTACGTGGGTTGGCGACACATCTACTAAACCGACGGTTAAAACGTTAAATGCCAAATACCTCTTGCACCTCCAAAGGCTGCAGAAACAGAACCACAAACACGCACAAAGAGTGAAGAGGAGGGGACAGGCAGAGCAGAGCAGAGCAGAGAGCAGAGCAATTTGGGTTGTGGACGGTAGAAATAAAGTACAAGAACGCAAATAATTTGTTTTGTTGTAATTAGTGAAGCGTGAGAATTAATTGCCCCGCTGGAAACAATTTTGTTTAGGGAATACAATTGCTCTCTAAACGATCTGAAACACGAATATTAACCGTCACCCAGACTTACCGCATGCACATCCTTGTTTTTGGAACGCGCCTTCTCCAGATTTCGATTGGCCGTCTCATAGGCGGCCAAACATCGCAATCGCCGGATTAGAAGAGCTTTGGCAGCGTCACTATCCCGCTGATAGTAACGCAAGGTGTCGCCCAGCTTGAGATCCTGGTCACTGGCCACCCGGGTCTCCAGATTCTACAAAAGCAGAGGCATAAAAAGATTATAAAAGGCAAAATAAAAGCGGAAATTAAAACCTCCCACCTTGATTCTCTCGAATATCTCCGCTGACTTGGCCACAAACGTCTCCACATTGCCCTTCTCTGTGGTCGAGAGCTGCGACAAAGCATTTGAAATCTTCTGATGCGAGTCGCCCACATCCTTGTGGCGCTGCGTCATTTTCTCCGTCCTGAGCGCTGCCTCACGCAAATGGCCGTGGTATTCGGTGAGGAACTGCAGCTCGTTCTCGAAGAAGTCATTCACATCCCGCACAGTGGCACTGAGAAGGATCTCGTCGGTGGTCTTGCCCAACGACTTGACAAAGCCGCCAAAGATGGCCATCTTCTTGCGGGGCTTGGCGCACAGGTCCTGGTCGTATTCGAGGAACACCTTCAGGTGCTGGTCGACGCGAAAGACGGGATGACTGGCGAGGCGGCGCAGGAACACCTCGTGCATGGCCACCGTCTTCTTGAAGGTGGCCAGATACTCGCTGGCAAGTAAAAAAAGGGTAAGATTAACGTAAAAATACCAATATTTAGGTATATATTAACACTTACGCCTCCAGCTCTGACTTCATCTTCTTGAACTCCTCTTTGGTCATGTTGCCCTCGCCTTCGCCAAGGCGTTGTAGCTTTTCCCGGGAGGCATCAAAGTCCGGACGTGGTGGACAGGGCGGAATCTGGATGAGATCATTGATTAGCAATGTGTTAATATGTTAACCGGAAACTCACAATGTAGCCGGCGTAATCGTCGTTCTCCTCGATGCGGTCGTGCAGCCAGACGAACTCCTCATGCTGACGCACCACATTGTTATCCTTTTTCGCGAATCCCGGCAGCGTGGTGCGGGTGTGCACTGTGAACTTGACCTTCTCCTTTTCGCTCAGCGCATCGGAGATCTCGACGTGGAGGGCGTTCTCGCCGAGAACGGCGGGCGTGGCCGGAGCGGAGGAGGAGCTGTCCGGCGATGTGGCCGATCCGCTGCCATTTGTGGCGGCACCACTCGCTGCTGGTGCTGGTGCTGATGCTCCGCCTGTTGCTGGTGGATTGGCCAGCGGATTTGTGGGCGAGGCGATTTCCATTGTGGCTCCATTGTTGGTGGAGGGACTGTTCAGCAGATTTGAGTCATCTGTGCCGTCCTATGGGGGTGCAAAAAAACCATTAATCCCATGTATTCTCTCTAATTACGCCCATTTTTTGATGATAAGACTTTCTTTGTGTGCAGGCGAGGCGTCATTTCAGATGCCACGAAAACCGAGTACTACTGGGCAATTTAATTGTTTAAATAACATCCGGGTAGCACCAAGTAGTTAGGCTCTCCTCCCCACTTACCATCATTTTGCGGCCGAGTAAATAACAATTGAATTGGGCTAAAAACAATTATTACAAATTACAGAGAGCAACACGAATTTCTACTAGCGGTGACACTAAGCGGCTTATCGAGTACTCGATAGTTCACGGCTTGAAAATCGATAACGGAGAGTCCGTTAATCAAAATTCAAATGTTTGAAATGGTGTTTGCTTTTAATTGTGAGTTTGAATTATATGATGAGGATACAAGCGATTTCAAATAGTTTTAAGTCGAAAAATTTGAAAATCAATATTTCGTATAAGCTAGATTTATTAAACTGGCAAGTTTACTTCGTCATCAGCTGGGCTTAAACCAAATTGTCAATTGTGATTTACTTAATCTTGATTTAAAATAAAAATGTTTAGCTTCAGCCAATTGAACAAGTCAACGCGAACAAGGGGCAAAAACTTTGCCGTCTCCGAAGAGCTCTTGCTGCTGGAGCTAATCCAACCTTATAAGCACATCATCGACAACAAATGTTCCGATGCGACCTCTTGCCAGTTGAAAAAGGACACCTGGGAGAACTTGGCCCATCAGTTCTCCAAGCAAAGTGGATTCGAACGTACCTGGAGAACCCTCAAGGACAAGTACAAGAACATGAACAGCAAACTCAAGACCGAGGGCACAATGATTCCACGGTTCTTCAAGACCAAAGAGTTTGAACCAGCCAGCAATTGTGTGTCTGTGGTTTATGATAATAGCCCGGGACATGAGTATAGTTCTGATAACTCGCCGGATAACAAACACCAGTATGATCAAGGTAAGGACGGTAGACATATATTTTTAATTGGGATAATTTAAATTATAAAAATATATATATATTTCCAGACGACGGCATTGAAAGCCCAACATTTGTAGAGGAATCAATCAATAAGGTTTGGTGCATAGATTGAGTAAATATAAAACCTTTTGCAGTCTACGATTATTATAGGCTCTGGCTCAGGAAACTCCTGAATCCCAGTCTTCATTTTCCCCCATCAAGAAGACATTACCAAGAAAATGTATTATCAGTAAAAGGAATAAGAACAGATCATTGACGAATGAGAAAATTGCTTTAATTCGACTTCAACAGCGATTCTATTGCAACGAAAATGTCAGATCTGCTGAGAAACATCGCCTGGAGCTAAAGTCAATTAATCTGAAGAATGAACTAATGGAATTAGAGCTGGAGGAAAAACGCCGACGCATTAAGAATGATGAAGAACATTTTATCAAGACAGACAGCTTAAGTTGACCATTATTTATAACAAAGAACTTTCAGATATTGTTATGTTATACCCATTGTATTTGAGTAGTCGTAGGTACATGCATACACAATACAAGACAATCAATTACAGAGATACGTTTACTCGACTTAGATCTAGACTAAGCTAAAACATGAAATGGCATTAATTAATAGTATTTAACATGGAGTGAGTGTGTGGTCTTAAAGCTATATCAGAATCTTGACAATGCCACTAAGTAGTATTGTATTTAAAAAGTCCCCTAAATAGATCAGTTGAAATTTAAATGATTCTCATCGTGCTGTATCATGTTGCTTAATAATTTGTTTTCCTAAGATCAATTATGTTTGAATGTTCTAATTTTTAAAACCATTTAAAACTCCAACTAAGCTGTGTAGAGGTCTTAGACTTAAGCTAATGGCTTGGCGACCTCCTAATACCTTCGCTGCTCGCTGACGTTGGACAGTGGCTGGTAGCTGGGATTCGAGAAGGCTTCCGTGGGGGCAGCTCCAGCTCCAACACCACCTCCTCCCCCTCCGCCAGTTGCGGTTTTGCCGGGTATATTCTTCCTGGGTGGCTTCACATTCACGTACGCATCGCCGGATTCCCCATTGAGTTTCGTCTCCACATGATGACGTGGCGATGGCGTTGGCGTTACATACTGCTGCTTGAGGGCCTGGTTGAACCTCCTGCCCTGCTCCGGACTCTGGTAGCCATCATCCGATCCGTCGGAGCGACGGTGCAGCATGGGTATCTCCTCCGGAGCCTGGTCCGCCGCATCCTCCGTGGGCAGGCCGTTCTTCTTGAGCAGCGGCTTGCTCGAACCGCTGTTCAGATTGTTACTCAACGTAGGCGACTGGCGCGCCCCTGGGAAATTGAAAGTGGTTTCGCTTGAGAAGTCCGGAAAGTCGGACGCCTCGCCTTCGAGGCGCGTGGGTGAGAATATGGCGTGGGTGCTGGCATCGGGATCGTGTTCGGAGTCCGGACTCATGGCCAGGTAATCATCCGGCAGCTCCTCGATGCCTGAGTTAGTGTGCCAGCATGGAAGTGGGTGCATTTCGATGAGTTTGCCGATTTGATATGGTTGTGAATGTGCTTAGTTAGTAACCTGATCAATGGCCATGGCTGAAATAATACTCACGGATATCGGGCACTATGTGTCCGTTAACATAGCGTGGAGCAGTGGGTGCCAGCTCATCGGGGGATCCCATCATGGCCAGGTAATCCGTCGGCTGTTGCCTCCTGTACTCTATATTGCTCTGCATGTACGGATTGTTCAGGTCTAGATAGTGCTGTTAAGTATAAGTATAAAGTAGTATATAAAATATAACATTTTACAATTTTTCCACTTACATCGGCTACACCTTCACCAAGCATGCTGGCAAATCGTTTCTCCAAATCCGTGAACAAAGGTCTGCTCTCAGGACTGCAAGAAAAATTAGTAAATTATTTTAAAAAAAAGTATCAATTTTGAATAGCAATTAGGCACTCACTTCTTACGCCAACACTCCAGCATAATCTCGTAGAGCTCGCCGTTGGCACATGGCGGCTTCTCCATTCGATAGCCATCGTTCAGTTTGTTAAATAGCTCCTGGTTGGGATCTATGCCCGGATATGGGACCTTGGCCAGCGAGAACATCTCCCAAAGGACAATGCCAAAGGACCAAACGTCGCTGTAGGTGCTGAATACATGATCGCTCAGTGACTCCAGCGCCAGCCACTTAATGGGCAGCTTGCCACTCTCTAATATAAAAAATTAAAATTAAATAAAAAACAAATAAAAATTGTATATTTTATGTAAAAAATACCTGACTTCTTGTAGTTATCCCCTCGGTACATGGATCGAGCCAGACCAAAGTCACAAATCTTTACCACATTATCCTCGCAGAGGAGAATATTTCTGGCAGCCAGATCACCGTGCAACACCTTTTTGGAGGACAGATAGTCCATGCCACGGGCCACTTGGAAGGCCCAACTGACCAGGTCACTTGTGGTCACCGTCATGGCCTCCGTGGAGTCCGTCTTGTAATTGGAACGCCACGCTGGTTGCACCGAGTTGTTCGACATTATTTGATCGTCTGTTAAATGGGAAATTAAATTTATTAAATATGTGAGTATTAATAAATGAAATAACTTCATACAGAAAATTTTCTGAATATTGTTTTTCTTTTATTTTATTTTATTTGTTTTTAATTTATTTTTTTTTCAAATAAAAAGCTATTCTGTTAGGCCAATATTTATTTCCTAGGTTTGATAAAATTTCAAGTACATATATATTTAAACGGTTTTGCCAGGCACAGTTTGATATCTATGTTTGTGTAAATTTTACTTTTGGGAGCAACCTACCTTCCGGCACGGTGGTCATCACGGTGTTACAGGTGTCCATCTGCCGATCGTAGCTGTAGGTGGCTGTTCCGGATCCTGGTCGTCCGGCTCGGGTGCCCGGTCGGGGATCATTGTCCGAGTTTCTGCGGTGAGGTGGCGGTTGGGTGTTATTGTTGTGCGACGAGTGCAATTGATTCACATACGAGTGGATCGGAAGACCGACACCGACACCGACATTGGCGTACTTCAAGCTACCACCACCATTCGCATCGCTGTTAGTTGAGTTTTAGTCGCCACACCGGACACAAGGATACACAGGGGAGCACACGAAAACATGGAGCGGGGAGCACAGAGGAGGAGACCACAACCAGGAGCGAAATCATAAGCACAGGTGCAAATACATTCAGTTGTGTGGAGTGTTGCAAGAGTTAATTAGATCGTGTTTCGTGTTTGTTTGATAGTAAGTCGGTGTGTTAATTGTAGCAATGTACCAAAATGTACCAAAACCAAAAAACAAAACAATATAATAGAGTTAGTCAACACAACGGTTATCTAATGTTAGTTTTTTACAATATTGAGTTAGTAAACGCCAGGCTTTGTTAGTCACCTCATTGCCCCAAAATCACTTACCGGTGAAGATCAAAGCTATCGGATATGCGCTGGGTCATAATGTTGGGATCTATGTGGTCGGTCTCTGGATTGATTTGATTGATAAAGCACTTCCGGTTCTTCAGCAGGAAGTTCTGAATGTTGCCAAAGCGACAGTACTCAACAATGACCATGAGTTCGCCTATACAAAATTATATATTGTTAAGAAATCGTAGATGAGACAAATTAAGGTTTTCAAATCACTTTAAAATATCCCTAAAAGTATGCAATAAACTTCGCCTAGTTTTTATTGCGTACTTTAAGGCACCTCTTTGGTTCTATTTTAGATGTTCTATAAAAGAATTTACTCAAAATAATATTAAAACTTACGTTTGTAAATGTTTTTGGTGACGGCTCCCAGGAGATTGACCACATTCAAGTGCTGACCCAGATGGACCATTATCTTGAGCTCGGAGACCAGTGCCCGCACCACCTCGTTGTCCGCCGTTCGCTTGACCATCTTGACCGCCACCGTGGTGACGGGCTCCTCCTTCCGGATGCCCTTGGCCTCTCCCTTGAGCACCACGCCAAAGGCTCCGGCCCCCAGCTGCTTGCCCAGCTTCAAATCTTCCCGTTTGAACTCAAACTCACGATTGTAGGGCAACAGTTCCGCCTGCTCGTCCAGGGTCAATACGGGATTTATTTGTCCCACGGCACCCTCCTCGAAGTTGGACAGACCGGCGGCCTTCAGGGCCAGATGCCGCTTGTGCTCCTTCTGGTAGCGAATGGCCAGGAAAACGCACAGGCTGATCAGGAAGAGGAGCAGCATCGCACCGAACCAAATCCACGGCCCGCTAATGCCGGGAAGATCTAAAAATATCGTAATTATATTATTTTATATAATGTAGACTATTATAAAAGTCAAGCATTTATTATTAGATTCATATTAAGATCATTACACTGCAAGAATAAATAATTTATGTAATGATATAATTATAACATAATTTATTTTTAAGAAATACATTTGAAATTGAAAACAAGTCAGTTTTTTATTGTTTCACAAACTATTTAAATTTTATGATAAATTTAAATATATTGACTTTTTCCTTTAAGTTTAAGAAAATGGGTTTTTTTTTAGGCCAATATCATATGCTTACATTTTATTTGAAACTATTTTTAGAAGTATATCCAGATCATCGCATTCAAATAAAAGTCAGACTCACCCGAAATGACCACCGTGAAGGAGCTCTCGATGCGGCCCAGTCGGTTCTCCACCAGACACCTGTAGACGCCTTCGTCCCCGGGATAGAGGTGCGTGATCAGCAACTTGTCGCCATTGCCCATGAAGTGCCTCAGCTTTGAACTGGCCAACTCCACGTCGTCCTTGAACCACCGCACCGAGGCCACGGGAATCGCCGTGGAGGCGCACTCCAGCTCCAGTGTTTGGCTCAGTTTTCGCTTGATTTTCGAGTTGGCATTCTGGCTGGAGCTGACCCACCTTGGAGCCGAGGGATCATGGACGTACATGGTTATCTCGTGACTGGTGTACACCGAGGGATTTGCGATCTGGTAGGCGCGGCACTCGTAGGTTCCTCGATCCTTGTCGGATACCGAAGTAAAGTGCACAGTGCTCTTGTAGGAGTAATCAGTATGACTGGTGTCAATTAGAACATCTGTGAGGAAAAACCATTAAGATTACTATTAGTTTAGTAATAAATTTCTAACTTACAAAATTAAATTTAGGGAAAAATTCTTAAATTTTAAGGATTGGATATCTAAACATGGCCTAAATGTTGAGGCCACCATATATAATCAAGAATTAATTACTTATGTACTAAAAGGATGCATGGACTTATTTTAAAGTAATTTTTTCCTAAATATATAATATGGAAGGCTCATAGCTAGTTAAGAATTTTTTTCTGGGTGTAAAAAAAGTGCTTATTTGTTTTATTATCTTAAACCTACCTTCAGACGCCTCCAAAGCCTCACCATCATGAAGCCAACCGAGATTACCGTCGAAGTGATAGGCCAGCGCCTCGCAAGTGAAGTTCACATTGTCTTCCTTGGCAATCTTTTGGTCCTTATCGAAGCCATGAATGGTCATATTCTCGGAAATATTGCCCAGCAAAACATGCGCCTTGGTGGAGGACCTTCGCTCCGTTCCGCCCACCACATTCAGGGCAACGCAGGTGAGGATTCCTGGCTCCGTGGGTCGGAATGATACCTCCACAATGCGTTCCACACTCAGTTTTCCGGGTCGCGGCTTGGTCTGGAACTGTTGGGTTAAGAACATGTGCTTAGAAGGGTTTAAAAGTGGGTTGTTGACAAAGAATTTACCTCATATACCTCCTGTATACTTGAATTCTGCAGTTGGACAGCACCAAAGTTTGAGACGACACAAAAGCAACAAATGAAATACAATTAAGCGGACAATACAAATATAGATAACTTAAAACTAAGCTTTTAATTTGTTATACTATCTTTCACTATAATTATAATTATTAATTATTGAAATCAAAATTAGTCTACAGAAACAACGCTCTGAAAATCTATTTTTATTTCAATTTGGGATAGCATATTAATTGATATAAAGAAAACAAAATGATGACTTTAAATTCAAGTTAACAGTAAGGAGAATCAAAAGCTTCCACATTCTCGAACTCGCTGATAAATAAACTTAACAACAAACAAACATAAGATGTTAACATTTAATATAAATAAAAAAATGTACTAATTTACTAAACAAACAAATTAATATAAACAAAAAAAATAGGTGAAAAAAATTTAAATAATCTTGCTTAAATCCTTCAACGTTTTATATCTTCAAGCCATTTAATATTGGCTCTGTTTTTTTTTCTAGTAAAATGTCACGGATTCCATCTCCCTGTGACAACCTAAATATACTCATAGACCGGAAACAAAAGGATACACCGAGGCTGTACTCACGCTGAAGTCCTGGTTGAGCACTTTGCATGTGGGCCAGCGTGGCTCCAGGCTGCAGGGCCGGAAGAAGAAGGTGACGGCAGCCGGCGGGAAGGAGCGCACGGTGCACTCCAGTCGCGCCACGGATCCCACCTGGACATAGGCATCGGCCATGCTGAGGACCGGGGCGTCCATCACACTCACGTTGTACTCGCGCTGCTTGGTGCCGAAGGAGTTGGTGCCACGGAGGATGTAGGTGCCGCTGTCCTGCAGCTGGGCATTGAGCACCTTGAGCGTGGTGCTCAGCTCCGTGGACACGATCTGGAAGTTGTTTTCCGACTGGCGAACCTCGGTGCCATCCGGCTTAAACCAACTAAAGGCTGGCACCGGATAGCCCTCGAAATTGGCCGTCATCTGGATCGTTCGATTGGCAAACTCCCGCACATCATAATGGCCCGATGGTTCGTACACGTTCAGATAGCTCTCGTTTTGACCTATGGTTTTTTGGTTTTAAATTAATAAATTAATTAAATATCTCCCACATTTTGTAGTTTCACATCACTTACCCAAAACTCGAATCTTGTATGAGATGAACTGTATGCTAGACTTTTCATTTTCCGTGACCTTGCACTTGTATACACCGGAATCTGAAAGTTGAGTGTTCAATACCGTCAAGGTGCTCCTGCCCAGCTGGTGGGTACTGTTCTTGGCTTTCAGATCGATTGTGGCCGTCGAGTATGAGATGCGATTCTGAGGGTGGGTATTAAGATATATATTTAAACCTTATCTCATAAACCATTTTATTTCATTTTATCTTTACTTATTTTAATGGAATTTACATTCCAAGATCTGGATGTTCATACTGACAGATCGAGTATTGGTTATTAAGTTGGTTATACAATAAAGAATAATAATATGCTTTTTGTATCAATGGATATTTCAATCAAGAACTCATCACATTTTTGAAAAAAATTATTTAAAAAATTAATTTTTTTAATAAGAGGCCATTTTGTCATGTTTTGGGCAAAATATTTAAATTTTTGCGTGTTCTCTGAATAGGAATATCAAAAAAATCGAAAAATGTTGTAACCCTATAATCATTTACCATATTACTTACCTTGTCGTTATCTGGCGTCTCCCAATTCATCGTGTATGTTGCATCAAAGTAGGCGGACTGTTCGCAATCCAACGTGAAGTTGGTACCCGTGATGACGTGATGGTCCGAGGAGGACTTGATCACAGGCTTTGGCAGCGGTTTGCCGGATTCTGTGGCGTTGGTAGAAAGGTTAGCTTTATTATGTACCCTTCGCAAAGGACTGGGCGTGGCCAGCATTGCTATAGCTTCATGCAGATGGGTGGGTTAGACATAGACGTAGACACAAATGGGTTAACGTTTCTACAGTACTTAGGTGGTAGGTGTTAGCCAAACAAGGTTAGTAATTAACTACTGCAGTTAAATAAGTCCATAACCAACAGAAATTGAACGCAAAAATATGCAAAATATGAGGCACAGCCAGGACAACAACACATCAACGAAAACGAGACAGGAAACAAGATCAACAACAACATCCAGGACAACACTTACGCCCTGGTCTGGGTGAGGGCGACGCATTCATCGGAGCCAAACGGGCTGGACTTCGCCTTGCCCGATCCCGATCCCAGGATAGGGCTCCGTTACCATCACCATCACCAAAGATTAGTGCCACCTCACCCGCCGATTGGTTAGTAACAGTGAGGACTTCGTCATCGTCATCGGTGACACCCATGTTAGTCAAGGTCAAGGGTCCCGATGGCGGTGCGTGGGTACTGGGAATTTCCAATCCGGATTCTGGAGGAGTTAGCAGATTAACGTGACAGTGGGTACGGGTATTCAATCAAGATTTGAACATGGAAGGTACAGTGGGTGGAACGCAGAGAAAGAGAGAAATACCATTGGTTAGGTTAGCACACGTATGTAACTTGCAAGCAGTATTGGTGCATGGTGGACATTTTACCAAAAATAAAGAGGTGAAGTTGTACAATGAACACCTTTAATTTGCGAGTGCAATATTTATGATTTATGAGAAAAACATTACGGGTTAGGAAAGCAAATCAAAACAATTAACCACTGTCTAATCATAAAATAAACCATTGCTGGGTGCCACAGAAATCACTAGTGTTAAAAAAAAAGGTCCAAAAGTATGCACCAAAAAATTTACGCCGTCTTTTAAAATAAATCTAATGAGTTTAAAGACTTCAAAAATATATTGTTGCATACTTTTATACACCTTTATAGCTAGTTGCAAAACACTATTGATTTCTGTTTTATTTTGAGTGTTGTCTGCGTGTGTATATAAATGTGCGAGTAGTATGTGAAATTTCGTGTGTCGGCTTTAGAGTGTGATTTAATCCATGAATTTGGAAGAGAATATTATTTGCTTAGTTTAGATCCTTGGCCGCAGGAGCCCAAAACCGTAACCGAACCGATCCCTCAACCGCTTCAAATGATCGATTCGAAAAATAATTGTGGAATAGTGGAAAGCAATATTTACGACATTTATAGACGGAAATCACAAATCACAAACTTTGGGGTGCAAAAACTCACTATCAATGTGACCGTTACCAATAAAGCGCACGACAATGCTGGTCGTCTCCTCTTCGTTATCCGGATGAGGTGGATTTGGCCGGCAGTAGTAATCGCCGCCATCCGTGATGCTGCGGATTTCGATGGTGAATCCCCGCTGCGGATCGTACCGACCCGTCGATTTGCTGGAATATTCCTGCACACAGGTACTTTGGTCAGATATTGGGTATTCAAAATGGAAGCCTAGAAAACAGCCTATCAATGCAGCTACGGACTTGGAACTGTCTTGTTAATACTACGCTATAATAGTTGAATATCTAGGAAATATATATTGTCTGTACAGCGATAGTAAAGTATGTATATACAAGGAGCAAATGGGTTTAACTACGAATTTGGTTTAAGACAAACTGTGACCTACTGTAGTTAACGTCAAATAAATTGGAGTCGTTCATTCCCTTGCAATCAAGGTAACCGGAAAAAGTATTAATGACACGGAAGGTGAAGCCTCGCCAGGGTTGATAATTCACGCTGTCGAAGAAGTTGGGATTGCCCTTAATCTGACCTTTTGAACTGATTATCCATTTTGGCTCCTTGAGGAAGGAAAATCATGATTTCAAGGGTTATTCCAACCTAACTAAAGCTCTGCATGAATCCTCAAAAGACTATGTACCCATGTTATTTAGCTCTTGAATATTTAGAACAAATTAATTATATTTCTTTTTACTTTGGATTTTAATATGGGTTACCAGGGTTTTAAAATCATTAAAAAATGTGTCTAAAACATACAATTGTAATGAGTTTATCGGACAAACGGATTCACAATATATTGTTGCATTATTTTAGTAGCCACATTTAGCAGTGACATCAAAACCCATTCAATGGCAGCATTAAATAATTATCGTGTGTGGATTCAAGCAGGCCTTTTTTCGATTGATCAAATTCGATGTTTTTAAGCAAGTCGTTACTAACTAGATCCTGTCCACTCACATATCCATTGGTCTCCAGCAGCACTTCTGTTTCGGGCATCGTTGGTTTGCAGGGTATAACCACTTCGCTGTACTGCACGGCAGTGACTATGGTGTCGCTGGGCACCAGCTTATAAATCGGGTCATTCACGTACACATAGATGGAGCTGGCCTGGCCCTGGTTCACCAGCTCGATCATCGTCTCCTCCGCCGACTGCTCGGTGAGTATGCTACTAGCCGAATCCTTTACGCAGTAATAGGCGCGCACATGGTCGGCCGACACATTAACCAGTTGCCAACTGGTGCCGTATGGTCGATCCGGATCCTCAGTGTTGTTAAACGTAGTCCCATTATATTTCTTGTAGTTTATCCACCAAATCATCGGTTCGTCGGCCTCGCATTTCAGCGTGGTGCCGGTCATGTATTCCAGAATTATGGAGCTCTTGCAGGGCGTCATCAGGGGGGCTCCATTTTCGCCGCCGCAGTTTGCGGTAAGTTCATCGAAATCCAAATCGTCCTGCGGCCGGGGAACTAAAAAGGTATTAGAGAAAATATTATTATTATTATTATATCAATAGATTTCTTTAGAGAAGGTTTTTAGTTCTTTAAAAAAAAAAACAAAATCAAAATTATAATTACAATCGAATTAAAATTTACCAAAATATAACTAAACTCATTAATTTCCCTAAGAATATTTGTTTTAAGTGTTTAAATGTTAAAAAATCACAATTTAATGATTATTCTTTGAGTGTTATTTAATAGATCACAAAATAATTATTATTGTTTAAAGCAAAAAACAAATAAATCAAAAAAGTATGATATTTTTTCGTTCAAATTTTTGGATAACATTTTTAAAATTAGTGAGCTATTAAATAATACTCAAAGAAGGATCATTTGTTTTTAAATATTATTTACGATCCCTTGTTAAAAATGTATATATGTAGATTATATTTGTTTATTGTTAAGTACAGCTTATTGATTTTTTAAATATGACTAATATAGGAGGTTTTTTTTCGATGTATAGCAGAAGGTCAACTGTACTGGTATGTGTATTGTTCATTGATCGCTCGAATGCCCTACAACAGAACACTTCACATGCCGCTTTATCTATTGCCGGGTTCTAGCCTCCGGTTTCCAGATTCCATCAATCCCCAGCCACTGGTGGCGCTATAATAACGACTTTAAGTGATTTGCGGTCGAGTTGCCCCTTAGAAGGGACATGGGCGCAGATGCACTTGCCTATACCGATCCCATTTTTCATGTTTTATTGATCCCCTCCAAGCACTACGTCTTTGCGGCGGACTGCTCAACGAGTTTGTTTTCCCTCTTTGCTCCGGAATCAATTATTTGTTTACAGACGATAACAGCAATAGAGTTGCCCTGATAGCAATATTCTCCCGGCTCCGCCTCGTGCTCTACATATAAAATACAAAAATGTACACAAACACAGACTTCCCAATATCACAATTATAACGTATATATGCACGACACTCAGAAGATAAATGCGGCGTCAATCCCGAATTTTGGAGGTTTATGAACTTCAGTTCGAAGTGCGGACCGACTGCAGCTTGAGCTGTGTCTGGACTAGTTGAACCTTGGAAGATGAACAGATTATGCCATTCCACTGAGAAAAGTAATAAAAATGATTTTTATTTCAACATAGAATTTTACAAATATTTGTTTTTAATGCTTATAGCTCTCTACATAGTTTAAGTATCAATTATTTCTTATATTACCTTTTCTAAGCGTGGCGTTAATTGGTAACAATTTCTGAAGGTCTATATTATGGTACGGAAAAATATAAATAATTCTCGCAGTGCAGACTCAGGCTATATAAATTATAAAGAATGCGCGTTGACAGGAAGTTTGTGCCAACAATATGATATGTATGTTTTTTTTTTAATTGTGCAAATTGAAAGCTTTAGCAATGGTGTGTTTTTCAGAGTTTTTGCTTTATCAATTTCATGGAATTGTTTTGGCATAAAATCGAATGTCAAGAAATATAGTTTTTTTTTATGAGATTGTTACTTACATGAATTGCTGCACGAGATTAAAGTTATTAGGAGCAGGGGCCGCAGAGTCCTTCTAAGATGCATTGCCATGTGGCTCGAATTGTTTGTTTGCCTTCTGGTTATATATTATACTAATTTGATTAGCCTAAATATTCAGTTTTAACACATCTGACTCAGTAATGCCATGGTCACGCGGGAAGACTCTTTGCTCACTTAGCGTTGCACTGCAAATAAATGTAAAATTGTTGTTTTGGTTAAAGTTGAAGATGTTTTTTAGTAAATATATTGGGTGTACAAGAAATACTTTCGGAGTGTGTTTAAAATTAATATTAATAACAAATTTCTTATTTATTTGTAATTTTAGTCTATTTTTGATCACTTTATTTTTCTTTATCTGCTTTTCTTGTGGTTTGCTTTGAAGTCAATCCATTAGTTCAGTATGTTTGAAAATGAATATTTCAAGGCTTGCAAATTTGTGATACATGTTGCTTAACGGTTATATATTTAGAAACAATGTTGCGCATATAAATAACTTAGATTAATCGCCAAAGAATATAAATATAAGCGTATATAAATACGCTTGGTTTATTTAACACATGCATATTACGCATAGTTACGATTTTGGGCTAGATATGAAAGTAGAATTTTAGTTTTTTTATTTTTTCTTATGAACACTTAACTGTTATTTATTATTTTTATCTCACTTTTTGTTGCTCCAAAAAATATATATATTGTTTTACGGCTTTTTTCACTGGAAACTTAATTTTCTAGGTTATGGTTGTCTATTTGAAGTTATATTGCCACCGATTTATAGACGCTTCTCAAAAGCAAACGAACAGCATAACAGTCTGGAGTTGAATAAAGCTTTTCGCTGGGGAGTTGAGAAGAACAATTTTTGATAAGAACTGCTCCGATTATAAATGCTCATTTTCATTCAAGCGACCGTTGAGAACAACAAGAGAAGAAAACAAAAAAGAATGCTACTGCCGACACTCGCGACTTTGAGATACCCATTTTCATATAAACCCTAAAAAATTATGCCGAGATCCAATTTTTTATATGGACAGACAGACAGCCTCGCTAAATCGACCCTTCTGATTATGCTGTTCAAGAAAATATATATATAGTTTTTAAACGCTTTTTACAAACCGTTCGACGAGTGCAATATACCCTTATACCCTACAAGTAATGAATGCACATAATGCTTTTTATCTCAGGCTGAAAAAATCGGCATGTTATCAAAATATGCGTTTGCGCATAAACAACAACACAATAAGCATACGTACTGTGGTGCAAGGAATTATTCTTGAGACATTTTTTCTTCATTTTTTGGTGTCATTTCCGCATTTGTAATGCCAGTTTCCGGGCGATACATATGTATATCTTTCTTTGGAGGATGGGGAGTTGGACACACCTACGGATGAGGCAACAGGTCACCCACGTGGCCATAATTCACTGTCACACACGTTGAGCCAGTCTAAGCCACCAAATGACAGCGGGACATGCACAATTAAACAAGTGGACTAACCACTGCCCAATGCCAGTACCCACTCAGCAAAAAAAGATAAAAACGTAAGTACATACAAATATTTCGGGTTTTATATTTTTGCTATCAACATATTCTTTATCGCTTAGCTTGCTTAAAACTTTAAAGGGACAGTGAAATTAAAGAGAAATTTTCTGGAATGATAATACAACCTCACAATACAACCTTACAAATACAATACGTTTTTAAACTTTGAAATATATATATATATATATATGCTATATATATATATATATTATTATATGCATGTAATAATCTTTTTGCTTTGAAAAAAAAAAAATATAATCGTAAGTATATGATTGTTTTTCCTATTTATAAGTAATATATGCTTGTTTTTTAGTTCCCTAATTAGTCCTTTTATTTTTTAAACTTTTTACCTCTTTAAAAAACAATCCATTGTAATTGAATTTAAATAAATTAATAGTATTACAATTTTTCCCTGTGTGGGATACAATTTTCCGACAATTAGAGCAAACGAGCTGGCTGCTGATGGGCCACTTCCGTGGCCGTGTCGTTAAAATGTAATCCCCCCCAGCCAGGCAGCCAGCCAGAGAAAACAAGTGTCCCGGCTTCTCGCTTGACATCAATAAACTGGAATTTAATTTACTGGCAAACTTTGAGGGCACACCTCCAAGCGCCATCGTGATGACATTTTGGCCTAGTCGACTTACTGTGGCTAATTTCCAGTTAGTCAGCAAACAAAGCCATTCATCTTTGTCACTCCCAGGACCTGAGGACAGTACGTTTATTGGCTAATTGATATTGCTCTGGTTTCACCTGTCCCACATGTCCAGACCGTAAGCATTGCGGATTAAACGCAATCAGCTGGCAAACATTGACTTGGCCGCTAATCACCTGTGATGAGTAGCTAAGCCCACGATGAAAAGGCAGAAAAAGTCGAGAAGGCGAAATACACTTTCTTTAAGAATTACTCGAGTAACTATTATTAAACATTTGTTCATTTTATTAACATCTAATAACTAATAATAGCTGTCTGCAGTATTGCTTCTTTAACTTTTTTATAGAACAAAAACAAACCATTTTTGAATTTATCAATTGCAGTTTTTTGTGTAACTTGTTTAATAATTTTATATTTAATGAGTCATATTTATATCTATGAGTAATAACCTGGGTTTTCGAATTCTAAGCTTATATCTAAGGCTTATAAGATTGGTTTTCCGGTTTGGAGTGAAGTTTGATCTTCAATTATTCAACCATTCTTTTAAAAAACTTTATGATATGAGCTTAGAGTTAAAAAACAAATCAGGTTATGACTCAAATGAATTCTTAGAAACTGGAAAAGATAGCCGTAACTGGCACTGTGTTCGAAATTCGTTTCCCCTCAAATCCATTACCCCTGACTGGATCCGCATCAGGATTACGCAGAGAGGATCGTTAATAAAACGCAGCCCAGTAGCCGACAGGTGATCAAATGTGTCTGGCAACATGTTGCAAGTTGCAAGTTGCTGGTTGCTACCCCCCAGCAATATCTTGGACTTTGACGAGGAGAGCTTGCAACTTCTCCAACTCCAACGCTAAATGCCAGTCACTCTCCACACAGGAAAAAAATTTAACGAAAGTTATAAAAAAGTTAAATAAAAAACTGTATTCAACAATATCAGAGGTTCTACCCTATTAATCGCTTATTAAATATTTTGTAATATGTTATAAAAAATGTTTATACTGAGCAACCTGCTTATTTTGATCTGATATCGAGCTCCTTTTTTCCGGTGCACTGGTTTGTGTTGTCGCTGGAATGCCTGTTGTCATGGCGACACGCCCACTTTGCAATTTTCAAGGGCGACGCTGGGCTATGGCATTTTCCTTCAGCCCCGATTCAGGCTATTTATAACTTGGCCACAGTTTTTTCTGCTCTTTTTTTTTTTTTTAATTTCCTCACGTGCCCGTGACGCAAATTACAGGGCGCCCTAATTGCAGTCCCAGCTGCAGGCAAATTCCCTTTCTTAGCTCTGATGTTTCTCTGATTCTGATTGTTTTTTCACAGCCCACGGAACTGAGGTCGTGCAATTAGCCCGAACATAATGAGGCCACTTGCTGGCCAGGGGGATCCTTACATTATTCCCTATCTCCAGTACACAGTTCTGCACTCAGTCATTTTTCGTGGGCAAACATATCCCGATTACAACTCAAAATATCTGCTCCAATTTCGACTTATTTATTTATCCATTTTTATTTATCTTGTTCTGGCCAATTCTTTTTTTCACTTTTGTTATTATTAATACATTTAAGCTGCGCACTTAACATCAGATATATATTTATTTTTTCTGTACACCAGTGGAATTAAAAAGAATTTTCCATATGTGTTGTTTTGCGCAAAAAAAACACACTTTCCCAGTAATTGCCTAGTCATTCTATTTAGCTTTTCCCCAGATGCATTTCTCTTCACACTCTCTCAGATTTCTAAGAAGTTAAAGTAGTTTTGTCAGATAACAAAGTGAAATAATTAATTAAGACTGTTCAAAAGCTTTCGTGTTATTTGGGTCGCTCTCTTCAATCCCCGATTATCGAGGCCCATATCGATATTCAACATATGTTTATCAGACAAATGTTAACGGCCATCAAGTCGTGTAAATAATAAAGAATGACGTCATTCCATGGTCGAGTGGCGCCGCCTTAATTCGTTCATTCATTCACCGCTGTCCCCCTACTTAATGATCCCCTTCCCCACCTTCTTGGTCACTCATGTGTGACGTTTGCACTCACGTTTTCATTTCAGACCTTCATGTAAATCTGTTTACATAAGTGACAATATTTGCGTATTAATTAAACAGCCTCGCACACAGACAACAATTATCATTCTGTTACATATATACATGTTTAAAATATTCAAATGGGTATATGTATATACATTCCATATACTAAGCAAACCGGTTGTCTGACTGCATTTGTAAGGGGAGAACTTTCCTTGAGAGCAAGTGCCTCCTTGCATTAATCATTACTGCATTGATCGAACACATATTGCATATTGCGAAATCTTTTGTTTTCAAGAAGCGATCTTGCAGCGTAATATAAATAAATAAAACGGGAGAATCATTGAAAAACATTTATGGAGTTTACAAGGTAGTAAGAACCCTTAATTTGGAAACAGAATTATATTATTATAGAATTATACAAAAAAACCGTAAGCCCAATTAATTGTTTTGAAAGCAAATCACATCAATAATTTATAAAAAAAGTTACTTTAAGAATATGTTTTGTTGTCTTATAAGTTATAAAATTAAAAATATATTCACTATATAGTTAATTTTATAATAATAGGATTGGTGTTTTTCTGTTTTTATTGTTTGTCACAAAGATATGGTTATACATTTGTAATAAATCATAAAAATCAAAGCTTAAGAAAATGCTTACACCAAAAACTTAAATTAATTCGAAGCACCTAGTTCTACTTATTTAATTCTAAAGTATTATTCATATCTTAATATTAAATTCGCCGAATCAAGTGATGCACTTGTGCACACTTTTATGTTTGGCCATAAATCTGATAAGTTTCAATTTACAAACATTTATATTACACGTTTCTAGGGATAAGCCATTACTCATTATTGCTTTTGGTAATATCCAGGTTTTATTTGCACTTAAACATTTCTTTCCCAGAACCAAGTGATACACTTAAGCACACTTTTGACGTAAATTTATGCAATGACCAGCCTTTTA